TTCGTCATCAATGACACTCAAGGACATGGGTTAGTTTTTGAATAAGAGACTCTTAGAAGGGTCTGTAGTGTACGTACTGTAGTGTGCTGCACCATGGACTACTTGGATGTGCTGACGCATGGTAGCATTGACGCTACAGTACCGTACCATACCGTCCAATCATGATATTGTTTTTTATACAATTTACTATATATTTTATACAATGTACAGTACTGTATACTACAATTATACAGTACATGTAGTCCAAAAATTGGGTCCTACAGTACTTTGGAGTGGCTGCTAACACCGCACATGAGCGGGTGTTAGCTCTGTAATTTAATTTTACATACAGTACAGTACAGTATTCAGAATACAGTACTCCATGCTACGTACTGTACTGTAGTGACCGAATCTGGTCCGGACCGGACCAGAGCGTGAGATCGAGTATCACAGTACAGTACTATCATTGGATCTGATTGAGTACATTGTAGCGTATAATACAGTACTGAGTACGGTATCACTATTAGTGTGTATGACATACTGTATACAGTAGTACAGAGTCTGTACTACAGACCCTTAGAGAGTGAGTCAAAAGATTGGGTCCTACTTTGCAGTGGCTGCAAACACCGCTCATGAGCGGGTGTTAGCCCTGGATTAATTAATTAATTAATTTAATTTTACATACAGTACAGTACAGTACAGTACAGTATTCAGAATACAGTACAGTACTCCATGCTACGTACTGTACACTGTACACTGTACAGTCGGTGCTGTAGTGACCGGACCAGATCATGAGATCGAGTATCACAGTACTGTACAGTACTATCATTGGATCTGATTGAGTACATTGTAGCGTATAATACAGTACTGAGTACGGTATCACTACTAGTGTAGAGTACTGTAGTATACAGACCCTTACTACAGTAGAGACCCTTAGACAGTGTATAGGCGACCGTCGTCCTCTGGTAGACAAGTCCAAAATAACAGCTTCCAGCCTACCCTGTACAGTACTGTACTCTGGAAAAGAGCTCCTGCGAGAACTTCGCCAGTCGACAAGGATTTCCAATTTATCAACGTTAACAGCCATGCCTAAAGTTGTCTCTCGTAGCATTGTTTGCTCAGATACAAGAGATCAAGAAGAATATAGCAATAAAAATGCCACTCTATTCGTCTACTATTGCATCTGTGGTCAAATGGCGCTAATCATAGGTATCCATCGTACAATTCTAATTTGCAGTGGAAGGAGTCGAGCAAGGAGAAAGCCCCATTGTACTGTACTATTGCTT